GGAGGGAGGCCAGTCAAAGGTTTAAATGAAGAAGCAGAAATGAATCAAACGTTGCTTCAGAACAACTAAAACCTGGAACCTGTTGCTTCTCTGCTTTGCTGAGCGTTCATCAGTTATTTGATCATTTCTGCATCTCCTCGCTCTGCCTCTCCCTCCTCCCTCCTCCCTCCTCCTCCTCTTCCTCACCTCCGACCCGACCACTCGTTGGTACAGACGAGCGATGCCGCTTTGATCGCTGCCTGATTTGAGTTTTCCGATCGATGGCGCCCATTGATTTGTGTCTGTTGTGTCTCTCAGGAGGAGTCGAGTCGAACTCTCAAACCACGTCTCAGGAGCTGCTCATTCCAAACGACGTGAGTATGAAGCCACGTTCACGCCCACTCATGAACTCTCTCCTCCTTCATCCCGCCTCCTCCTCGTCCTCCTCCTCCTCCCCGTCCTGACTCCACGCTGATGTGGGTCCGGTCGCTCTGTTGTTTCTGCCTCCGTCTGTTCTGCGGCTCTGGAACAGAACAATCGATGCTCCTCTGCTGCCTCCTCACGTCTTTGTACTTGTGTCCGTTTTACGCCACTTGCAGCGAAACGTTGGCTTCTGGGGAGGTTGGGCCGGTTCTGCTGGTGCTGTTTGTAGGTGGATGTTGGACTCTTGGCCCTCTGGTAGACGACGGCAGCGTTTTCAGCCTTCACACGAATGTCGAGGTTTCATTTTAGTCGCTGTAAAGCAAAATAAAATAAAAAATCTGACATCGTTGGTGCCAAAACCCCAATAAACACAGTGGAATGTTTAAAAACTGCAGCAAATATCCGTAAAATAATTAGACATTTTTTGCAGATTTAAAGAGTTAAACAGTGAAAAAACAAATTNTCAAACTTTATTGAACACAGCAGCACTAAACAAGGAGGGAAGGAAACAGGAAGTGAACAGCAACAGAGGAAAAGAAGGGAGCAAGGAAAGGAGGAAAAAGGTGGAAGGGAGGAAGGGAAATGAAGAAAAGGAGAAACGCAGGTTAATGAAAGAAGAAACAAATAAAAGAAAAGGAGGAAGGACAGGAGGAAAAGGAAGGAAGTAGATGAGGAAGTGAAAAAAGGAGGAGAAGGAAGGAACTGTAGGTAGGAAAGGAAAGGTAAAGGAAGGAAGGAATGAAGGATGTAAGTATGAAAAGGCAGAAAACAAAGGAAGATGAAAGGAGAGATGGAGTAAGGAGGAGAGGAAACTAGAAAAAGGAAGGTAGAAGGAATAGAGAGTAAGAGAGAGGGAAAGTAAAGGAATAAAAAAATTAGGAAAAATGTTTATTTTGCTCCATAAAGGAAACAAAAACACAAAATGAAGTCTGGAATTCGTTGGATGAGGTGTTTGAATTAAACTTTATTGAACACAGCAGCACTAAACAAGGAAGGAAGGAAACAGGAAGTGGGCAGCAACGGAGGAAAAGAAGGGAGCAAGGAAAGGAGGAAAGAAACTGAAAAAGAAGGAAAGGGCAGATTAATGACAGAAGAAACAAAGAAAAGGAGGAAGGACAGAAGGAAAAGGAAGGAAGCAGATGAGGATGCGAAAAAAGGAGGAGAAGGAAGGAACTGGAGGTAGGAAAGGAAAGGTAAAGAAAAGGAAGGAAGGAAGGATGTAAGTATGAAAAGGCAGAAAACAAAGGAAGGCAGAAAGAAAAGGAGAAAAGGAGTAAGGAGGAGAGGAAAGGAAGGAAAAAGGAAGGTAGAAGGTAAAGAGAGTAAGAGAGAAGGAAAGTAAAGAAATAAAAAAGGAGGAAAAGGAAGAAAGGAAAAGAGTAAATTGGAGGGAGGCCAGTCAAAGGTTTAAATGAAGAAGCAGAAATGAATCAAACGTTGCTTCAGAACAACTAAAACCTGGAACCTGTTGCTTCTCTG